TTAATAGAAAGCCATGATGTATGTATTTAAGCCAGGTTTTATTTTTTTTAAGCCAGATTTTTAAAAAAAAGTGTAATTGTGGGCCAGTATTCAGTGAATACAATTTCATGGTTTTTAATTCTCTCAGAGCACACTAAAAATGGTGTGCTGATAAATCCCTAGTAAATTACCCTTTATTCCACTTATAAATGCCTTTTTTGTTTTGCAGAGGGGAGATTATATTTATTGTTGTTTACTGAATCCTTGTGTGAAAGCATATCAAATATGTGTGAACTGCTACTACTGTATTTACAATATACAAACCTATTTCACTGGTATTTGTAGAAGTGATGATGCGAACATGAGTACCTATTTATGTGAGCCTTCTGGGGATCAGCAGCGCCCCCGAGGGGCTTTTTTTTACCCCCTCTCTAATTTTAAGTTGACACAGAATTACTACGCTCCTCAAAATGAAGGGAAATGAATAGTCCTGTTTGCTGCTAAAAACATTTTCAAAGACAAAACGACAAAATACAAGTGCTTTTTACATTTTATGATACTCTGAAATTAGGGTGGAGAACTTTTAAAACTCCCTGAAGATGAAAGAGGCCATCTCTGCCAATCACAGGTTTGGTTGGTATCATTTTGGACTGGAGCCCTCTTGGAACCGTTTCTCTAACTCCACAAGTCCTTCCAGAAGTACTACGTGGTCAGAACTATGCCTCGGTTTATTTATCATTTTGAAATAAAATCAGAATTTCAACCTGTAATTTTATCCACGTTACTTTCTAGCGAGAGTTCTAATTTCATGAGGAAACCAGATGGAGGGAGGGCAGTACAGATCTGCTCCTCTTCATCTCCCTCTCCTTGTGCTCATGCCTGCTGCTGTTCATTGGCCCCACTGTGCGCCACGCTCTGGGAATGTGTGGAGGAGAGGCCCAGACTCGGGGGCATGGAAACAGAGGATAGGGCTGGTGTTTGCTGGGCAAGCGATCGCAGGTAGGAGAGGGCTCAGAAAATAGACATCTGTGAGCCCTTCTTTTCACCTACGAACGACATATTCCAGTTAAGGAAGAATCCTGTTGAGAGTAACTATAGAATTGGGCACGTTGTGGTAGAAAGGGTTAGCGATTGTTCCTTGCTCAGTTTTAATGAACCCAAACTCCTGAATTTAAAGCATCAATTATGTACACTGGGCCGAAGCTGCTCCCTCTGACTTTCCTCACCTGCTCCTCTTCTGATTCTCTTGCCTTCAACTTGAAAGTGAGCTTGACTGGGCACATGACTTCCCTCCTTGTCACACTTTCTTTGTAAAGCTTATTGATGCAGTCTTCTGACTTTATAGCAGAAATCAGAGACTGGCCTAAGTTTTATTCCCTTGTAGGTTTTATTTTTCTGTCTGGATGCTTCAGTGTTTATTTATCCCTTAAGTTTTGTGTCCGTGACTTTTGTCTGAAACCAAAGCAAATCCCATGTGTCTCCCTAGCCCAGTTTGGTTTTTTGGTGGTTGGGTTTTTTCCATCTTGGGAAAGTATGTGCTTAATTTTTTTTCTAAAAAATGTTTTTATCTTTTTTCAGTATTCCTCTTTCTCCTCCATGCTAGGAAAACTTTTCAAATATAATCTCCAGATTTTTGGTGTCCTGCTGTTTGCTGTTTCTCAACATGAGTTTTGTCATTTCATTTATAATTGTCTTCAACTTACTTCAGCCACCTTCCATTTCCTCTCATTCAAGTTTATTTTTATTATCTTCCTTTTCATGGAAACCAGGTTTTCTTATATCCTTTAAAGAATGTTAAAAAGCTTCCTACATTTTATTCTAATTTCTGTGGTAGATTTCAGTCCCTCACACTGGATCAATGGGACAGTGACCAGGGTTTACTAGCCCTGGAGGATGGATTCTTTGCTCCCTTGATGTGAGCCTTGTCACGGCCCCTCTCAGCGCCCCAGCCAGGGGACAGGTGCATCTGCTCCAGGCTGAGGCCAGCCCCTGGGGCACAGTTATCGTTCAGACGCAGCTGGCCTGTTTCTCCGCAGCTCCACAAAGCCACCACTACCAGTTCTCCTTTCCTCTTTCTCTCAGGAACAGGAAGATGAAATCTATTCTTACAGCCCCAGTCTACATGTTTTAATCCCTTGCTCAGTACGTACAGTATCAACAACGTGCACACTTTCTGAGATGTTACTAAAATGTTCTGACATGACTGTAGTTTTCATCTTCAAATGTGTTTCACAAATGGTTCTATTTAAAAAAAAAAGGGGGGGGGCGCCTGGGTGGCTTAGTCGGCTAAGCGTCCAACTTTCGCTTAGGTCATGATCTCGCGGTTTGTGGGTTCGAGCCCCGCGTCGGGCTCTGTGCTGACTGCCAGCTCAGAGTCTGGAGCCTGTTTCAGTCTGTGACTCCCTCTCTCTCTGACCCTCCCCTGCTCACGCTGTCTCTCTCTCTCTCCTAGAAATAAAAAAAAACATTAAAAAAAATTAAAAAAAAAAAACCTTTCCTGAATGGAAAAAATCCTGGGTAGGTAGGTACGTCAAAAGGGTTCATAGTGCTACAGACCAAAAAAAAAAAAAAAAAAAAAAAAAAATTGTTGACAGGAAAATAGAATTCAACAAACTTCGATAAAACTGTGAAGAGGTGTTCAGTACTTTTTTTCTTTGAAAGCAGGTGTGTTTGCACAGCAGCAGTGAAGAATTTAGTGCACTTCACTGGGTGGAAGTAAGTCTAACTAAATTAAACTGCCTCTGCCAGTTTTCCAGCTGACTGTGACAATCCCCGTGACCTCTCTCTGTGCAGTTCAGTTTCCTTACCTACGAAATGGAAAGCATATCTGCCCTTTCACAGAGTAGTGAGGCTCAACGGAGGTTTTAACTAGTAAAACGCTTTTTCTAATGTCTAGAACCCCGAAACTAGAGCCCAAAGTGCAGTGTTGATTTTAAGTGCTTCCTACTGGTGGGAATCTAAATGTGGTTCCAGCTTGCTAACTCCTTCAGTAGTTAACCACAGCCGCCTCCTGACACCACAGGGCAGCTGCTGCTCTGAGATAAGCGTGCTCACACATGTCTTACACAGTCATGAAAACTCTTCTAGTGCCAGTTTATCTCAGGCACCAATAACATTAGGTATGCCTGACCCACTAATACGTAAATTATGGGACTTAACCACTCACATGCAAAACAGGCAGCCAGTTAAACAAAACAAAACTGAGTAGCATGTATTACATAGATGAACAAATCGCATACGTGGGATCCTGAATCAAAATTTAGGATTAGATTTTAAAAACACTTTCTAGCACACTCTACTAAAAAGCCAGAGTTTATGTATCATTTTTAAACTAGCCATGCCAATGCACCCATCTAAAAAAAATGGTGAGGCTGCTATGAGTGTGCTCATGGGTGCTTTTGAAACCTGTAAAGTGCCCCATGACTGCACAATGATATTTCAATAATTAATGATACATGGCATTTTGTTTTTACATTTTATTAACACTTTTTCAGAGCAGTTTTAGGTTCACAACAAAACTGAAAAGTACAGAATTCCCATATACTTCTGTCCCCACACAAGCCAAAATCCTCCATAATCCACATCCACGCACCAGGGTCAGGTATTTGTTAGAACTAATGAGCCTATGTGGACACAACATTATCACCCAAACTCCATTGTTTAATTAGGATTCATTCTTGGTGTCACACGTTCTGTGGGTTTAGACAAATGTATAATGGCATGTGTATCCACTGCTGTGTTTCCATGGTTTCACAGTATATGACATCTTTAAATATCCATGAACAACTAGCAACCTTTATTGAGTTGCTAGTGCTTAGATGTCATACACTTCTAAGGGCTTTTCATTTAGTGTTCATGGCATCAGTAGGAGGAAAGGCACAAGAAGTAAAATACCGTCCCAAATCACCCAGCTAGGGAGAGGAAGTCAAGTTAGGAACCCACCATACTACCGTCTCCTAATCTCACCATTTCTTTTGTGGTTAGCGGGCTTAGAAGCAAAGATAACCATTCTCTTGCTATCATGCAGTTGTATTTCAGCAGCAGGGAGACAACTACCTAAAGGAGTTCTGAACCATCCAATCCTGTAGGCTCTAGGGGATGAAAGATAAAATTGGGCTCTAAAACACAGATTATTAGTTCTTTCCACATCAAAACTGAGCAAGAATCTTTCCTCGCCAGCACCACTCCACGAAACCTACTTTCCCCCTTTTCCTCTAGCACTTCCACGAGAAAAGCCACCCATCCCTTATGTTCTCCTCCTCCCCCCAACTGCTAACCCTGCTGCACGTTGGTCCTCCAGGATCGTTCATTCTTGCGGGGGACTCTTCATTGACCAGGCTTCCTGTGAGTGCACGCCTGGTATAATGCCTGGTGATTAGCTGTACTTGCTGAATCAAAAGGCAGAAGGCCCTGAGCAGCCACTGCAAGGTCTGACGAACAGGTGTTCAACCAAGCTTACGGAACGGCTCTCGCTATGAATGTTGACAGAACTGTCCCGTCACGTCTTCGAGTTGGTCGGGGTTCCAAAGACAGCACCTAAAAGCGAAACTTGCATTAGCACCATCTTCCAACATCCGATGCAGTACAGCCCGCGGTGAGGGGGTCGGTCGGTGAGTGTTTGGGTTGTTTACTTAGCGATCCTGCGGTAAATCTATGCTCTTAAGAACTGCCTAGCTGGACCAAAAAGGAAGAGAAACGTGTGCACCTGGGCCACGGAACCCTTCTGCTTTGGATAGCACCAGATCTCGTGGCTCTGCGTTCTTAAGGAGTGACGCTGCATCTAGCCCAGGGCAGGTCGTGGAGCGACACGCCTCCAGAGTCCACCAGTGCACTGCAACCCTACTCTGCATGTTGCGCGGAGGCCGTCCTCGCAAAGACAACCTTGCTGTAGGGCCCGTGCGCCCGCCGTGTCACGTGCCCACGGCCGGAGCTCCGCGCCCCGCCCTCTGCCCGTCACTCACGCGACCCGCCCAATGGCGGCGGCGGGGGCGGGCCCGCGCTGGGCGGGGCCTGGGGCGCCGTGCGCCGGAGCTTGTGGCGTCAATGCGGCCGCTGTGTCCATGGAGAGAGGCTGAGGTGGCCGAGCTCCGGCCCGAGGCAACGGGGCGCCGGGACGGCGAGAATGTCGGCTTCGTTAGTCCGGGCCACTGTCCGGGCTGTGAGCAAGAGGAAGCTGCAGCCCACCCGGGCCGCCCTCACCCTGGTGAGTGGCCGGGGAGCGCGGGCGGGCGGGTGACATTGGTTCACCTCCGCCCTCGCCAGGAGGGCAGGGCGGCAGGGCGCCGGGCCCGCTCTGCGGCCGCCTTGTCGCCGCCCTGCCCGCCTCGCCTCGGCGGAGGAGATAAACAAGCCCGGGCGGGGCTGCTCCGCGGGAGGCCGGCACCCCGGAACTACGTTTCCCAGCAGGCCGCGCGCCGCCGCGTGCGGAGGTTGGGGGTCGCCGCGGGCCGGGACAGCTGGTGCGAGCCCAGGGGCGCGACTGTGCTTGGGTCGCGGGCCTTTCAGAGCTCGGCATGCTGGGCGCCGGGGAGCTGGGGCAAGGGAACCGGGACCCCTGTCCTCGAGGTGCGCAGGCAGGGTGGGAGCTCGCCGGGGGACCTCCGGACGAGCGTGGCGAGCGACGTGGGAGCGCAGCTTCAACAAAGCCCAACCCTCGCCGAGATCAAGGCTGCAGCGCACAAAGGGTTCCTTCCTGGGGTCAGGGAGAGGAGGCTTTTTGAAACACCATTCGGCCTCCAGCAGCCCTCCGCCGTGGTCGGCTCTCACAAAGGACAAAGAAGGATAAAATCTCTTATCGTTAGCGTTCGGCGTTTTCTAGGCGAAAGGTCGAACCAGAGTCGATACTGCAGTGCTCACCTCAGGACTTACCGTGCATACGGGATCCCTGCTGCACTGTGCAGTTTTTTTTTCTTCTTAGCCGAGGGAAAACTCACTTAACATCGTATTAGCCGCTTTAAAATGTACAGTTCGGTGGCATTTAGTACAAAGTGTTGTTCAACCATCATGTCTATCTGGTTCCAAAACATTTCACCCCAAGAAAACTCCGTATGCATTAAGCAGTCACTCGTATTTGCCATTTTGAAAGAGTTGAATTTTATAGGAAAGCCTGTGATCAGTTCAGCATACTCCTCACACACCCACTCTTGATGAAGGAGAAGGCTTTGTGCAAGCATTCAGCACCTAGAGAGTGGAAGAGTAGATTCTTTAAGGTAATCATAGATTCCATTCAAGCTAATGCTGTAAGAAAGCCTGTTGCCGGAAAACTAGTTGCAGCCAAACAGAAGAAAGTTGTGATAAGGTGGGAGAATTCATCTTTATAATGGTTCAGTGTTTACAGCCTGTACAGAGGTTTTCCCGATTCTTCTCTGTTACTATTTTCTGTACCACCGGCCTGTTTACATGTCTGGAAGATATCATTATCAGAGCTTAGAATTCTCCAAGATCTTGAAATCACAAGAACTAGAAGATACGAGTCGTACTTTATGTCTTTCGGTGTCAGTTCAGAAGTACTCAGAATTGGGGAGGGTGGGTGGCTCAGTCTCTTTAAGTGTCTGACTTCAGCTCAGGTCATGATCTAATGGCTTGTGGGTTGGAGGCCCGCATCAGGTTCTGTGCTGACAGCTCAGAGCCTGGAGCCTGCTTTGGGTTGTGTCTCCTCTCTCTGACCCTCCCCTGCTCACATTCTGTCTTTCTCAAAATAAATAAACATTAAAAAAAATTTTTTTTTAAAGTACTCAGAATTGAAATGAATTCTGCCACTGGTAATGGTAGAGCCAGAAACAAAGTACAGAGACACTCGAAGAGCCTTTTATTTTTCCATCATTTAGCATATTATTGCTTGCTTGTTCAAAGTCTCTTAAGTCATACCCTTCTCCTTGTCATTCAGCTGACATTTAAGACCTCCTATGTTTCAGAATAAGAAATAAATGAGTTACACAGTTCCCGCCCTCCAGGGATACAGTTGTGGGCCAGGCCTTGGCACCCTTGGCCACCCTTAGGAATTACTAGGAATAATGACAGCTCACATTCTCAGACCTGAGCTCTCTACACTTGCTCCTGCTTCAGTTACTGTTACCACTTACCAAGGTAATTCTGCTAACAGAATTGTAGCAGCTCCTTATCCTGTCAATTCTTAATTCAGCAGGGCTGTGTTGTTGCATTTGATCAGGTGTTCTGCTTAACTTGCCAAAGTCCATTGTTTGAACTTAGCCTGTTTAACTCTCTGACTGACTTTAGAAGTTTCTTTCCCTGTGATCTTAGCTGGTGCTAAAGAAAAAGGTCCTTGCTGCTTTCTACCCAGTGGCCCGCGTAGCAGGCTTGCAGTCTTTTTAATCCTAGCATATGTTCCATAGGCTCAAGACACTATGGCATGCATGCATTGCTGTTCTATGTTTTTGCAAATATTTTAAGTCCCAGCGTGTAGTCAAGTGCAGAAGTGGGAGGTGACCAAAGGGCTAATGAGTGAATGCAGATGAAAGCAAATGAAACTAGAGAGATTTCAGTAAAATGAGTGGGAAGAGATCAGTGCTACCTAGATACATAAACTTCACAACAGGAACTTGACATGGTGCACCCTCGTTCAAGTGCTCTACCTGTGCAGTGTACTAGAGGTCATCATCAGAAGGCTCGGAAAAGGAAAAGGAATTGATGAAATGAAAACATGGTTCCATGCTGTCAGCACCAAATTGTCTACATTAACTGATGTTAATCCAGGAGAGGATAGGTGGGTTGCTGGAGCAAAAGGCCTCATCTGATGATAGGCTGCCCGTAACACTTTGATGCAAACCAGAGATGGTTCCTTGATTGAATGTTTTAAGACTCCACCACATGAAAGTGAGTACCTTTGGACGTTTTCAGAGGAACATCCAAAGAGGATGCTGTCCCTACTCTACATACCCAGGAATTGACAAATGGAATTGAGTTTGTAGGAGGCAGAGTAAAAAATGACAAAAGAACTTGAAGATTTAACACTGCCCTGCTGGCAGAGGCTTTTGTTTCCATCCTTCTACAAATCAGAATTAAGGTAACCATAATTTAGAATTATGGATATACCTAAGCTATGCATAAAGCTGAACCAGAGCTATAAGAGAATAATGGTACATAGCATTGTTCTTCATACACCCAGAGAAGTTAATTCATTATATGCATTGGGTGCCTTAAGACTTAAACTTTCTAGTGGCACCTCGTTGAGAAGCGCTAAGAAAAAAATGTGATACTCAAGCCCCAATAAGGAGCTGTTAATTCATTGAAGGACAAGTACTAGAAGTCCTTTGGAGCAATGACCAAGCAGTAAGATTTCTATATTTAGGCCATTTAAGGGATATTCTCCAGGAAACCTTTGGAAGCAGTCTAAATGTGTAACAATGAGAGATTGGGTAAATAGAGTACATCTAGTTGGTGAGTACATTCAGTTGGTGTAGTCACCATAAATAATACTTTTTTTTTAAGTTTGGGAGTCAGAACTCTTCATTCTTTGACTTACTGTCCCTGTGCAAATTATTTAATCTTTAATGCCTACAGCACAGAATAGTAAGAATAAGATGATGCATGTAAACCATTAAGCACCTAGAATGTACTTAGTAAATGGCTAATACATATTTATTTCTATGTATTACATGAGAAACATGTTAAACTTTTAAAATGTGGGCTTCATAATACACAGATGAATAGGAAAAGACAGAATGAGTTGAGATACACTGTAACGTGTTCTTTGGTTGCTGTTTATCTACCATCTTCTAAACATGAAAATGCTACATTTATAATGAGATTAAAATTTGTTGTTGGCATGTGTTTAGTATACATAATCATGGAGTTAGCTCTGGTTTTTTGTTTTCTTGAACAGCAAAATATTAAAATTGCATGGGGACTTAAGGAAATACAGTGTTGAGGATGAAAAGTTTGTGCTACAAAAACACTGAAAATCTTTTCTTAAGGGCCTTTTATCTTGTTCTGTGATATACATATGAGTAGATTAAAAATCATCTTTATATTTTATTGAATTTCAAGAATCTTAATTTTTTAAGTTTACTTATTTATTTTGAGGGAAGCGAGGGACAGAGAGAAACCCAGGTGGACTCCGTACTGTCAGTGAAGAGGCGATGTAGGGCTTGAACTCACGAACCGCGAACCATGAGATCATGACCTAAGCCGAAGTCGGACACATAACTGACTAAGCCACCCAGGCGCCCCAGGAATCTTAAATTTTAATTCATTGGTCAAATCTCAGGTGAATAAATCAGGTTAAGGTATAAATTAAGGTATATTATACTTTACTTGGAATAGTATAGGTACCTTAGCTGTTTGCGGGGAGTGCTTGGAAACTGGAAGGTGACCAGGCTTGAAGCACATGGTTTAGTTGAAGTTCTCGCACTGTTTGCCAGATTGAGTTTACTTATTGCAGAGTAGCTAGCCTCTGCAAGTCAACAAAGAACCCAGTACAGTCCTCAGCTTCTGCCTGGCCATGAGATACAGAAAGTACCTTTAATGGCTAGCATTTTTTGTAAGTGCCACATGTTCCATGTTAGTCATTCTCACTTGTTCTGAAAATCAAATCTCTCACTTGGCAAGTTGTAAGATCCATATCTTTCCCCTTAAATAAGCACTCAGCGGGGTTTCCATCATTAGTAACACTCCTCCCAATGGAGTATGTTTGATTTTGGCCTGACACAGGAAAACTAAGACTTGATTTGGTTCCTATAATGACATTTCCCAGGCACACCGGCTACTTTCCCTTAACAGTGCAAGGTGTGAAGTCAGCCACTTTGGGACAAGTAGACCACTCTCCAAGAATTGTTTTTATTTACTGCATCTTGAGTGTTTTCTACTAAGAGTTGAGAAAAGAAGAAAATATATTATTTTGTAAAACCAAGTTAGGCGATTTAATAATCCCTTGGCGGTAAGAACACAAGGGGTTGTTGACAGAGTAGTGTTTACACCCTGTCTGCTCTGTTTTGGTCATGCAGGGGTGAATGGTGAAGCCTCCTCACCTTTGACCCCCGCCAGCCTCACAGGGCAAGTTGTACTTGAAATGGATATTTTCCCATGACTGTGCCTGGTTTTTTTTTTGTTTTGTTTTTTTAACTTATCAGAAATCTGTTGCTCTTTGACAGTAATTAGATTCATTTCTTCCGGGCTCAATGTGGAAAATATGACCATGAAAATTACAAAAGCTAGTTTTTGCTGTCATTTGTTTAGAAGGATAAATGAGCATTTTTAAACATTTTTTTCAGAAATACTTCTGTAACTATTTGAGGTTGATATGCCATGATCTCAAAAGAAAAAAAAACATAATTCTACTCTTCCCCATTTCCTCCTTCCCCTTGCATACAATTCCCTGTTTCCCTGTTACCCACTATTTTGTCACACTGCTTGGCTCCTGTTCTGGTAGAATTGTAGGAAAAGGCTTTTTAATAGACCACCTACTGGTGGTGATTTTTTTTTTTAATTTTAATTTTTTTTTTTTTTTTATAATTAGGCTCTGCCCTGACAGAGAGCTCAACATAAGGCTCAAACTCACTAACTGTGAGATCATAACCTGAGCTGAAGTCACTTAGCCAACTGACCCACCCAGGTGCCCCTAGTTCATGTTTTTAAAAAATTTTCTAAATTGGTTTCATGGCCTTTCTAAATTGGGTCCAGACCCTGCTTCATCATCCTCATCTGGCAGAGGCCCCTCCAGGCAGGCCGGAAGAGCACACTTCGGGGCTATCCTTTGGGTCTGTTCCCTCAGCACAGGCTTAAGTTTTGGCTACAGTTGCTTCCAAGTCGTAGGTCGTAATGTCCACTCTGGGATTTCACAGACCAGTAAGATGCCACAACAAACTGGAGGACCAGCACAGCATTGCCAGCTGAGGAGCTAATAAAACAAAGTAGGAAGGACATGATGTCTTCATCAATAGACTGTCATCATTGTGAAAAGAGCTGGTTTATATTGAGCTCTTTGTGCCTGGCACTGCTCAAAGTGTACTTCATGAACTCATTTATTGAACCTCACGAGAATCCTGAGGAGGGTCTTTTCTCCCCATTTAAGCCAAGTCACAGGCAGGGACCCAGCCAGGAAGTGGAGCAGGAATGCCCTGGAAGAGACTTTGTCCCTTACAGCACCAAGAAAAGCAGATAGGCTCCAAGAGTACAAATTCAGTAAATGTTGTTGGAAAATGGCACTTCCCGAGAAAGTGCGGTTGGTGATGCTGACACATATATATGATATAATACGTTGTGGGGTTTTCCTCATCTTGAGGACAAATGGGCTGATTAACAACATTACTCCTGAAAAATGCCTCCCTGTGCTTACTTCTGTAGTTGACCACACCTGGGTGGCTCAGCCGGTTAAGCATCCGACTTCAGATCTTGCTGCTCATGAGTTCCAGCCCCACATCGGGCTCTGTGCTGATAGCTCAGAGCCTGGAGCCTGCTTCGGATTCTGTGTCTTCCTGTGTCTTCTCTGCCCCTCTCCCACTCATGCGCGCTCTCTCACAAAAATTAATAAACATTAAAAAAAAATTTAAAAATAGAATGTTTTGAATTGAGGAGAGTTCATTTGTTTATTTATAAAAGCCACAAGGTACTCAGGCAAGAATGGAATATAAATTTGTCACATGAATTTGCTAAAGATAGACCTGAATAGTTTCAAAGACAAGGGAACTGTAAGGCGCTTTTTTTTTTTTTTTTAAGATTTTATTTATTTCTGAGGGAGACAGTGTGGGCAGGGGAGGGAGAGAGAGAGAGAGATACAGAATCTGAAGCAGGCTCCAGGCTCTGAGCTTGCTGTCAGCACAAAGCCCAATGCAGGGCTCAAACCCACGAACCATGAGATCATGACCTGAGCCAAAGTCAGGCACTTAACTGACTGAGCCACCCAGGCACCCCTATAAGGCTTTTAAAAAAGCAAGTTTTGCACCTAAAAACTTAATAACTCATTCTTTTTTCAGACACCTTCAGCAGTAAACAAGATAAAACAGCTTCTTAAAGATAAGCCTGAACATGTAAGTAAAACCAATCAGATGAATGTTTAGTAAAAAAAATTGAAGTCATATTTTCACAATGAATTTATCTTATAAGCAGTATGTTTTCATTGATTAGGGATTTTTATTAAAGAATAAAGCTACACTCATGGTTTTTTAAAAAAAAAAATTGGAATTATTTTATAACAGGGTACTCAATGGAGAAGATAATCATTTTGTGACCCCAAACTCTTAGTTGTCATTCATCCTTCTAAGAGGCTACCTCTCAAGTCTCCTTCCCAACACAATGTATACATTTTTATCTGTTTAGACCAGAGTTTCTCAGCCTCTGCACAGTTGATGTTCTGGGCCAGATAATTCTTTGTTGTATGTGGAATGCAGGATGTTCAGTAGTATCTCTGGCCTCTGCACACAGATACCTGTGGCACTTTCCCACTCCTTAGTTGTAACAACCAGTAGTAATTTCCTGAAGGGAACTACTGCCCTAGACCATGCCTGTGCTTGTTACATTTGTGTGTCTGTCTCTTCCTACTTCTTAGATAAAAGCATTCCATACATGCTGTGGTTACACTTTACTTTTTGTCCTTAATAATATAGCTTGAGGTTCTTTCTGTATCATTACAGAAAGACCCGCTTCATTCTTTTAAATGATTGCATATATTAGTGTGTTTTATTAAACAGGTTTTATTTATTTAGCCAGCCGCCCAGGCTAACGGTCTTTGGGGTTGTTTACATCCAGTGCTGCCATGAGAGCATCATGCAGCAAACATTTCATGTCCATAGTGTACCAGGCCCACTGCTTAGAGGGCTAAGCCCATAAGCGTGGTTTAGTGCACCTACATAGCCTGTTCACCTGGAAGCAGGATTGTGGAGTAAGGAGTGTGTGCCTCATCTTCATCTTAGGGCATTGTTTGTTGCCTGTGGAGTACTGTAAGTCACATCCAAGTACTAGACTATTAATATTGAGTGATTAGACTGTGGAGTGGTTTCTAGCTTCTGTTGTACAACCTGCCTTATGATGTAATGAAGTTTTGGACCTTCCTCAGATGTACTGCATACATATATCAGTGTTCCAGCTCCATTTGGATAGACCGATGACCAAGTGAAACATGAACTTAGCTGTGTAGATTTGAGGGATGCTTCTTCATGGTGACATAAAAAGGATGGAACAGATCCTTCATTGGTGTCACTGAGGGCACAGGTGGTCCCTTTTCCAAACTCAAGGCACCTAGAGCTGTATTTTCACATATTCTGTAAGTATCTGTATTCATGCCTGGTAGTAGGACTTCTTGCTTGCTTGAGTCCTCCTATTTACAAAGATAAAAGCTAAGTTATACCCATACGTAGGAGATGTGCCTCAGAATTTGAGCTGGAAAGTTTAGCATTGATTGTGCCAAATACATGCCACTCTCTACCATGTTCTATCAGCTCTCACTCTGAAAGTGAATAAAAAGCACTGTCTTCGTGTTGTTTAAGGGTGTAAGGACAGAGACTACTGTCTGAATGCTTCAGTTCTCCAAACTTCCAGGCAGCTTAATGTAACTCCCACCCTCTGCCACGTGTCTTTCCCACTCTGACTGCTTTCCTGAAGCAAGTCCACATTGCTGCTTTTAAGAGAATCAGGGTCTGCTGGCTGAAATCATACTTTGTATGGTAATAATTCTACCATAGACTTCAGTGAAGTATAGGATCTAAGAGTAGAAATTTGGCAGATATTGTTAGACAGTCACATTAAGGTAGACATTGGTATTTTAACAGTGCAGTTTGGTCACCTTTTAAACTTCTTACATCTGTATTGGCTGCAATCTTTTGATTTCTGGTACTTGAGAATGTGTACACAAGTCTACCTTAGAATTAAGGCCCTGTGTAGAGGCAGGGTCATTGCCAGGTGACAGCCTGTGAGCCTCTGACTCTAACCACATGGAAGATTCCCAAGACCATCTCCCACAGTGAAGCGGAGGACAAACATTTTTGAGCAATTGAGAATGTGTTAGGTGGCCGTCTCTGCCATCAGATACTTTTCTTTTTTCTTTTAAAAAAAATAAGAGGATTTTTCGTGTTTAGAATTAAAACTCTTCTTTAAGAGGCACCTGGCTGGCTCAGTCAGTAGAGCATGTGACTCTTGATCTCAGGGTTGTGAGTGCAAGCCCCTCGTTGGGTACAGCTTACTGTGGTACAGTGGGTTACTGAGCCATTCTGTGCAGATGACAATTGTGAAAGCTAATCACACGGAAGGATGATGTCTTATGTGGCAGAAACAAAGCAGAGAAAAAGGTCTTTATTCCTGCTATAATAAAACCTGTGTCTTGATTATATGTGTATTTGGCAAGGATTATAAGAAAAAAAGGAAAAACCATATAAAATATTTTTTGTAGAGTGATAGTGACTTATTTTTTTTCAGTTTTTACTCCTCTGTATTGTTTTCTTTGTATATAGTTGGTTTTTTTAATTTTAGGATCCCCACTAGGGTTGCAGTGATGTTTGTCAAATAGCTAAATTTTTTAAATGCATGTTCCCACTTCCACTTAATACTTCCTGAAAGGACATTTTATAGCCAGAAATCTAATATTTATCTTTAAGCTTATGAAGAAACATAATGTCAAATTGCCAGGGTTTTTATGAATGTAATTGTTTATTGTGTACTATTTTAAAACTGAAGTTTTATTTATGATGCTTTTTCAGGTAGGTCTGAAAGTTGGTGTCCGAACCAGGGGTTGTAATGGCCTTTCTTATACTCTAGAATATTCAAAGACGAAAGGAGATTCTGATGAAGAAGTTGTGCAAGATGGTGAGTTTTAAGCAAACTTGGCCTAAAATTTTAAACCTTGAACAGCAAGAAGAGTAAAGATAATAGCAGGAATGCCATATAGAGTGCTCACCGTATATGGTTTGATGGACTTTCATATATTAAGTGATTCATAAACAGCAGCTGAATAAGAATGGTACCATATTGTCCCCCATTTTGCAGAAGGAACTGAGGCATGGAGAGGTCAGATAGCTTGCCTCAGGTCTCTCGACTAAACAAGTGGCCTAGTGAAAAGTTGAACCAAATCAAATTCACTCCAGAGGCTGTGCTCTTAGTAACTGATAGATCATTATGCGTTTATTTCAGTTACAAAAAATAATCATTGTGTGCAGAAAGGTTTTAGAATGGTAAAACTTCATACTGAACCACACGTTGTATATGAAGCAGCAGTTTGACGTCTATACCAAATAAGTAATGTCATCTTATGCTTTTGAGGCATCTGTATTTTTCATTTTTATTTAAAATGTCAGTGCTTTAATTATATCTTGCCTTCTGCCCCAACCCAATAATCTGATAAAACATATTGGAAACAAAATAATGCCACAAGCCTCGGGCTCTTCAGCGTGTATGGGTTTCGCAGTGCTGATTCTGCATCGGGTGACGTTAGCTAGCTTTCCTCTTCCTGGTGTTCATTTCATCAAACTGAAGGTACTGACCAACAATCATGACATTTTTGTTAATATGTTGTTTTTATTTTATTATTATTATTATTATTTTTTAAATATTTTTTATTTATTTCTAGGAGAGAGAGAGAGACAGCGTGAGCAGGGGAGGGTCAGAGAGAGAGGGAGACACAGACTCCGAAACAGGCTCCAGGCTCTGAGCTGGCAGTCAGCACAGAGCCCGACGCGGAGCTCGAACCCACGAACCGCGAGATCACGACCTAAGCGAAAGTCGGACGCTCAACCGACTAAGGCGCTCCTATTATTTTTTTATTTATTTTAGAGTTGGGGAAAAGGAGAGAGCTCGATCCCACATCCCTGGGATCATGACCTGAGTCAAAGTCAAGAATTAAGACGCTCAACCAACTGAGCCATCCAGGCTCCCCAATATGTTGTTTTTTAGATCAACACATAAAATATCTTAATTTTTTTTATTTTTCAGAAGAGGAGCTCTAATAATTATCTGTAGTTTCTATATGAGTAATTACTAAGTTTCTTATAAGGAGGAAAGCTTTCTTTTTTTTTTTGGAATGTTTATTTACTTTATTAAGTTTTTTTTTTGGAATGTTTATTTATCTTTGAGAGAGAACACGCAAGCAGGGGAGAGGCAGAGAGAGAGGGAGACACAGAATCCAAAGCAGGCTCCAGGCTCTGAGATGTCAGCACAGAGCCCAGTGGGCTTGAACTCACGAGCTACAAGATCATGACCTGAACCGAAATCGGACACTTAACTGACTGAGCCACCCAGGCACCACGGAAAGCTTTCTTAAACTGATTATACTTATGAAGACACCAGCTTCTACCTGCGTAATTACTAGGGAGTTAGGTTATTACCATTTTTCTGGCCCCTAAGCAGAACAAAACGGCTGAGGTGCACTGGTTGGCCTTATGAAATTAGCCCAGTGTATCAGTCCTGATGTGTCTCCAGGCTTGCCCGTGTGTCGTGCGTACAGATGTCATTGCAGAGTTTTCACACATCTTACGGACTCTGTCTTCACAGAAGTCACGTCAAGAACGTACTTCTTTCCTTCATCTTGTATATTGGAAAAATGAGTGAAGTGAAAACCAAATTCTAATTCTGCGTAGAATTGTCATGGGATTTGCTTGTATACAACAGTCTAGCCTAATATCATTGTGTTTGACATAGATTACTGGGTGGAAAAGAAGGGACAGACAGGAAACTGAGCCCTGAATCCCTTGAAGGAAATAATGGGACTAATCCAGAAGCTTCCTGTTTGGCTTTTGTGAGTCATTACTAAGCAGGCTTTATGGGACACTTGTTTTCTTCTCCCCCCAGGAGTCAGAGTGTTCATCGAAAAGAAAGCCCAGCTAACACTTTTAGGAACAGAAATGGACTATGTTGAAGATAAATTATCCAGTGAGTTTGTTTTCAATAACCCGAACATCAAAGGAACGTGTGGCTGTGGAGAAAGCTTTAATATTTAACTGCTCTGGCTGTAAGCTCCGGGAAGACTCTTGGAAGTCCTAGGGCTTACTGAAGAAATGATGTGACTGTCATGTGCCGAAAGTGTATAATGTATGACTGCCTTATGAGGAAAATAAAATGATGCATTTTGAAAGTGAAACCAGTATGTTAGATTCCAGAAGAAGTGATATTTGTACTATTTTTAAAGGGCAGAAAATGAGAAGCCATTACTCTCTGAGTCATTAGCCTGATCCGTAAAGAAAAAAAAAATCCTACCCTGCACTTCATTGTCTTGCATCCTTTTTATTAGAACCAGTTTCATGCAAGTTGCCTTCCTGGAGGCTGTCAGGAACGTATTTAATACATGCGCGCTCCATAGATGGCCGTTGAATGGCTCGAATGTGCATTTACCCACCAGATTGATGGCTCTTAAATTCTTAAATTCAGAGGCACAAGATCCTGACTGCTGGCGTGACATGGAAGTGTAATTTTTCTACCCAAACTTGACACAGCATTTCTACATTTTTGTCCCAAATTTCATTGTTAGATGCCTCATTTGCTTTCCCCTTTACCAGCACCAGCGGGTAGATGAAAGTATCAAAGATTTCCTTGAACATCAGAACAGTTCTGAACAGTGGCATCAACAGGTAAGAATCACTTAGCCCACCACTTTCAATCCATTTCTTTTGCCACCCTCAGTGTCCCCTCAACAGTGGAGTCCCAGGCTGGCTTAGATCCTTTTGGTTGAAAGGTGTCTAAAAAGCCATCCAGCCCACCCCTCAATTCTGTACCTGGGGTACAACCCCCAGGGAAGCAGAAGGACTTTTGTCCACCCTCACACCGTAGGCTCGGTAGCAGCGGAGCTGGGACCACTCTTGTGTTCCCTTCCGTGTAGGGGACAAGCCAGCTCTAGTCTGAGGCAGGCAGCAACAGTCAGCGTGTGGTCTGGCTTCTTTATCTGGTTGGCATTCTGATAAGATTTCATTGTAATTTGATGAAGATCGTTATCTATTTTATTTTGAGAAGAATCTTATTTTAAAACCCACTTGTGTGAATTACTGTCTTATTTCTTTAGAACTGTGAGACATGGTTTATACTAGCAGAGAGGACATTGTAGCACGCCAGAAATACCCTTTTCGAATGTTGTGGTTAATTCTGAAGCAAAACATTGAAGGTCTTTTCTTCAAATTCCCAGGACGTGTACATTTTCTGGATCTAAAGTTCAGTGACTAAAATTCTTAACCTAACATTGTTACCACCAATGTTTCTTTGACAGCCTTTGTTTTGTCATTTAGTGATTTTCATTCCTGGGTTTGACATAAGTGTTCTATGAGATGTCACACTTTTTTTGAAAGCTGGTTCTCACAAAGTAGCCATCACACTTCTGTCCGTCCTGTTTACCCAAGTACCTGGCACACAGAATGCACGAAAACCTAGCACAGCGGCTCTGTAGATGTTCATGAGTTCGTATTGTTAACAGAACTGTCAGTCCACCTATAATTTGTGCAATACTGTACGTGTGTAGAGAATGAATTGTCAATAAAAACATGGCCTCTGTGTGATCGTAAAATTGCCTTTTCTTTATGAGGAAGAAGGGTTTGGGAATAGTAGTTGCAGCTGCTCCAGCTACTGAGTAATGGCTGCGGTATTCTAACCAGTCTTGTCACTCATGGGAATTCTCTCCACCTGATCAGTCGCATCCACTCTTCTCACGTGTCGTTCTCCAGTTGACCCTTAGAGGCTTTTTGATCTTTCTTGGCCCCAGAGACCTGAGCATTGCCTTTCTTCAGTTTTCTCCCTGCTTCCATTCTTCCCTCCCACGTGATTCCTTCTTACAGCCTCCGGTGTCATTACCCTTCCCTGCGATGCTTTTCCCACATCTGTCATCCAAGCTTTATGTTCACGTCCAGAAAGGTTCTCAACCATTCAGCTCAGCATCTTTGGAAGCACCTGCTGTCCAAGCCCTGAGGTTTCACAGATGACCGGAGACAGCGCCTACCTCAGCCATCTTAGAGCTGAGAAAGGAGACTGCAGTGAAGAGAAGAGGGTACATGCCGTGATAGGTAAAATGTATCGCAGACTTGCTATGTGCCAGGAGCTGTTCCAATATCCGCAGTGAAGTAGTTTGTTGTCATCTCAGAGATGAGAAATTAAAGTTCGGGATAATAAAATAGTTGACCTGAGTCCCACAGTGAGTGGCCAGGTCACAGTGACTGCCCATGCCATCTGTCAGAGCCCGTGCTGCTAGCAGTTGGGCTGTGCCGCGTGAAGTGAGAACGGAGATGAGTGCACTTCTAAGAAGCTCTCTTGGAGGCTGTGACACCTTGGCCTGGTTTTTAAAGCCCTAAGAGATTTGGGGAGGAGGGAAGACAATGGGCAAAACTACAGAGAACTGAAAACCTGCAGGAAGCTAGGCACTCAGAAAACTGTGAGGGACAGAAGGGACAGTAGACAGGACAGGTTTGGAGCTTTCTCTAGCTTCTGGAGGTGCTGGGAGCCACTCAGAGTCTTTCCAAGGGGCCCATCAAAACCTCTGCATTTAGAAGTGTCAGGCTGGCGGCCCTGTGGAGCATGGAGAAGGCTGGGTGGGAGGATGGCAGGAAGTACCTCTGACCCCCAAACCCTGAGACCAGTGTGAGGCTTCAGAGCTGCCATCAGCAGCGCTCCTGTGAGCAGACCAACCTCAACAGGGCCATGGCGCTCTGGCCCGTGGCTGTCCACACTAACAACACTTGACTGGGTGTTTGGGTTTTAGGCTCTTACATAGTACTGAAAGGTTTTCTTGAAAGTAGGAGCTTTGCCATTTCTTTGGTGTTCCTTTAGCATCAGGCATATCCTAATTATTTTTGGAAAAATGGCTTGCCTGCAGCTGCGTCATGTTCTTTCTCGTTTCAGCCAAGCTCCACCAAACCATGGGCATCCTGTGAGAGGTCACTTCCTAGTACCTGTGTGACATGAAGGACGTCAGCTGCCGCGGCAGGAGCCTCACACAGAGATGACACCAATGGTTTTTTTAGAGGATCACTCTTAAGAGCCCACTCCAGGGGCGGACATACCCCAGGAGGAATTTCAGGAGACGGAGACTGTGGCAGTGTTCTGCTACAGTGTCCCTGTCCCTGCCCTGTCTCTGACCCACAAGAATGATTTTTCTTGTAGGCAAAGAGGAAAGTGGGGAGGGGTTGGGAAAATCCCAGAAGATCAGAAGCCCCAAGATTTCCAGTACTTCCTAGGTTTCATTCATCAGGAAATCCCATTTAAAAAGAGCCTTTCTTGTCTTGTTTTGATGCCTGGAAGACCAGGAAATGCAAAAGCCTGTGATGTTAAGCTGCCTGGTCATTCCCATGCCATCAAACAGCTGTAAGACCCGTGTGGCCTGCAAAGCTTGTTTTAAGTGTCCAAGTTGTGCCTCAGAGCAGACGTGACCTGGGCCACGAGACTGCATCAACTCGTATAAATATAAATGCAGCTATCCTGATGCCAAGGCTCAGTGAGGAAGTCCGTGGGGTGCTGGCGCACAAAGCCAGAGCTCTGGGGGGTCAGATACGTCTAGATTTAAATCATGGCTTGTCATTTTGTGGCCTTTTAACCTGGTGCAGGTTAGGTGATTTCTCTGAGCCTGTTGCCCCATCTGTAGAACAGTCTCAGAATTGAGGGAGATTTGATGAGCCAACTGCGTGTAAACAGTATCCAGCTTAGAGCTGACACTCAGTGCTTAGTGGTTCTTGTCCCTTTTACCCGCGGTTATCAGTCAGAGCAAGAGTTCAGGGAAGGGAGCATTTTCATACAATTAGGGAGTTACTGCCCATATTAAAATCTGGGGGAGGTTTACTGTATTTCTTTACATGACCACCACCGCTTGTTTGAAAAGAGCTACTGATACCATTCAGAGAAATTCTATTCTCTTTGTAGCTGATTAGCTATAAAGAGAATTCCCATGTAGAGAGATGTGCCTTACCTGATGAACTGAACCCCCCTGGACTGGAGGGTGGGGGGTTACCTCAGCAGGAAAGCCAGGCTGGCAGCCCAACCACTCTCTTCCTCCTTTGTGATGTGGAGCCTGTTCCAGGGGTAAGTCCCAGTGGAATGTGGGAAGTCTGTTGCCTTCCTTGAGGTGAGGACTCTGCACCAGTGATGGCCCCCTTGCATACCCCCCTCCTCCGTTTCTTTGGTTGCCCTAGTGGATTGCACCACGGATTTACTTCCATGAACAAGTAATTCCCAGCTCTTCACTACAAAGTACACGTTAGGGGTGCCTGGCTGGCCGTCAGAAGAGCACACAAGTCTTGATCTTGGTCGTGAGTTCAAGCCTCCACGCTGGGTGTAGAGATTAATTAAAAAACTAAAATAAACTTTAAAGTACATGTTTATTCTCTGTGAAGTCCAGACCTTCAAGCAGTCCTCATGCTTCAGAGTGTAAATAAATGGGGATCTTGTTGATCTGTAGATCTAATCCCCAAGGTCTAGGGGCCTGGGCTTCTGCACGTTGAGCCAAGGTTCAGGTAAAGCCCATGCTGTTGCTTTGTAGACCACCTTTGAGTAGCAAGGTTTTAAAATGTCTCTAGGGGTATCTGTTTGATCTAAGTGATAATCAGCGCCCATATTTGTTTTTACCACCCACTGTGGTGGTCAGGGTCTCTGATCAGCATGAGAGAGCCACGTGGCCACCCTGAGAGGACAGGACAGCTTACCCACCGGTTTCTATAACAACTGTCTGGTTCCTCTCATTGTTGTGAAATCCTAAAACTGTCGATGTCCAGCCCCGTTTCCATTCAGTAGCGGGGTCCACAGCTCAGTCCCCACTGCTTTCCCCGCACAACCAGGAGACTTGGACAGTCCATGAGTCATTTTGATCCTAATGCTCTGGAACCAGAGTCCTCAAATAGGCCAGGTTTGATGTCCTGGGGAGACCCACAAGAAAGGGGTCACCTTGCGTGGCCCTTCTTTACTCTAAACAGCTATGTAAGGTGGCACAGGGCATTGCCTTTCTCAGAAAATGTCCTCAGAAACAGGACAAAATTTACCGCTTACACTACTTTTAAGTGGGCAGTTCAGCGGCCATAAGAACCTTCACCTTGTTGCACAGCCGTCACCACCATCCATCTCTAGAACTTTCTCATCTTCCCAAACTAAACTCTGTCTCTATAACACACCAACTATGCATTCCTCGCCACTCCGGTCCCTGGAAACCACCAGCCTACTTCCTGTCTCTGTTTTCTCCAGGCACCTCAGAGCAATGGAATCCTACAGCACTTGTCCTTTTGTGTCTGGTCAGGAGGTAAAGTTTTTGATCTTCATTAGCCGGAGACGTAACAGTCATCACTGTTGCTCTTTAACCCACCACCGATGGAGTCTAGTTTGTCAGCTGTGACTGTCCTTTGACAATGTGTCTGCTGATGGTTATTTATGAACAATTGAGGGCAGTTTAAGAAAAGCATGAAAAGATCATGCACTAGACTGACGCAGACGAGATTCGTCATGAGGACTTGGCAGAAACATCAGGTATAACAAAGGAAGTTAAATATACAGGACTTTAAATATGTAGCTCTTGTCAGGAACGAAGTCCAGCGAAATCATTTGGTGCCACAACAGATCTCTTAACTCCTTCCTTCCTCTCTAACGCAACCCGGATCCACTTCCAGCCACGCCATGTGGGCAGATATAGGAAGCTGTCTCCTATTAACTGCCTCAATTTCTCTTTTGCATCTTGTCCGTATTTATAGAAGGAAAAACTTGACCAATTAGAAAACACAATTCAGCTTGTTCAGTTTTAATGTTTAATGAAAACTGTTCACTGTTTAACATAAAATGTCTTGGGGCGCCTGGGTGGCTCAGTCAGTTAAGCGTCTGACTTCGGCTCAGGTCATGATCTCACGGTTCGTGGATTCCAGCCCTGCGTCGGGCTCTGTGCTGACAGCAAGCTCAGAGCCTAGAGCCTGTTTCGGATTCTGATTCTCCCTCTCTCTCTCTGACCCTCCCCTGTTCATGCTGTCTCTCTCTCTCTCAGAAATAAATAAAACATAAATAAATAAATAAATAAATAAATAAATAAATAAAATAAAATGTCTTTCCATACTCCACCTTCCACCTATCACCCTCCTGGAGGAAAATAATCCCCTGGGCATTGGTGTCATGCAGCTGTTTATGTGACCTTGAAGATATCCATATGTCACAATGGACAGTTAGTTACTCCTTCACCAACACTTACTAAGCATTAGCAGATGCCAGCCCCATGGAGCTACCAGATGAATGAGACCCAGATCTGCCCCCAGACCTGAGGATTTGTAACCAAGATGGCCACATAAACATAATTGTAAAGCAAGTGGTAAGTGCTGTGATTGACCTACTCCTAGGGCATAAGGAGAGAACAGAGAGGTGAACATTAAGCTAGCCTGGGCATGGCCAGGAGATGCAGGGTGAAGTGGGTGGTAGGGAGAGAGAAAGCAGAAGCTACAGCTGAGAGATGAGGTGAAGCTGGCTTCATGTTGACAAATCAGAACTGGGAAAGTGACCTTCCAGCAGTTTGTGACTGAGCCTCAACAGTCCCTCTCTTCCTTTAGGCCTTCACTTAGCAGCCATGCCCTTTTCCTGGATTTCTGTGCCTTCCTTCCCCACCGTGTTCCCACCAACTCCTAACCCTGACTTGACTCTGTTCTCACTATGCCTATAACCCCTCCTCCCTGTCCCCCAATCCAGCCCTGAGAGTGTTACAGCCTCGGTAGAGAGGACAATCTGAAAGGAGAGGTTAAAAAATGGTAGTGAGCTTCCTCTCCTTTTTCCGGAACCAGCATTTGTTGACAAGCTGTCTCTCATGGGCCCAAACTGAATGGTGGAAATGCATGAACTCCTCAAACTGGCTTCCATCCAAAGCTGCCAGTGTTATATCCTCCCCTGCCCAAGCAGGTCTGTCAGTCCTCAAGGCCACCACTGAGGTGGCCACTGTCTGTCCAACCAATGATGGTCCTGAGCAGGTACCCTTCCCTGGAGACTATCCACCGAACAGTAAGCATCAGCCCATGGCAATCTCTTTGAGTGGAGTTGTACTGTCCCAACCCATCTTACCATCTACCCTAGCAGCTCCAATCTGGGGCCTTCCTTCCAACCTATACATGCTGCCTTACATCTCATGGGTATGTACCCAGTTCAAGGGTGCTAGGGGCACTCACAAGTACACCGGCATTGTGGACGACAGACAAAGCCAAGGCTGGTGACTCAGCCAGTGCTTCCAGACCAGCCTAGGACCCTGCTTCCTTGAGGAGAGGTGGGGAGGTGAGCCCCACTGCCAAGGCACAGCTCTTTGGTATCAAAGGCAGTAGAGTAGAAATGGCTGTAGGTGCAGAGATGGGTGTGGCCCCCAGGGACCCTCAAGGAACCGTTTGCCTCCTCAAGATTACTGAGCAGAGCGGTGTCCCTCTTCTTTGCTTTCTATCTTTGGGAGTCTGGCTCCTTCCTTTTGGGATTCCATCCTATAGGTCAAGTGCTACACCCTCACCAGGCAAACCGGAAACAAGCAGAGATCTTCCCTGGTGGCTACACCAGGTACTGATTCCCATTTCTAAAGTACTGGCATCCTCCACTGGCCATTCCTGAGGCACCTGAGCTGCCCCCAAACCCCCTTCCCTGAGAGCTTATGCCACAGCAGACCATGACATCACCACAAGATGCTCAGTACCACATCCATTCTAATGCACTCAGGGAGGACGGGAGCTGGTCTGCTGGGAGAGTGCACCATGGAACCCCCCTCTTACCATGTGGGACTGTCTTAACACTTTGCTTTAGGCTTGCCTTCCATAGGCAACCACAAGGCTCCAGCTGTTTCATTGCTAAGTGTCTATGGAACCCTTGCTATAATAATGTCTTGTATCATGGAGGACACATGATGTGCTCCCGGGAGCTGGCCTTGCAGGAGTGGGAAGTGGTTTGTGTCTGGGCTGAGAAGACCTGAGCACTAGGCTGATGTCTTGTGCGATGTGGGCCAGGGCAGAGCCACTGAGGGTTTTGAGAGAGCAAGTCTGGATCAGAATTCTTTTTTAGGGAGTATGACCCAGTGTGGCTTACAGAAAATAAGAAGTTGAACAGAGGATTTCTAGGGCACTGAAACTGTTCTGTATGATGGTATGGTGTGTAATGGTGGATACATGTCATATGTTGATCAACACCCATTGGACATACAATACAAAGTCAACCCCAGTATAAACTAAAGACTTATGTTAATAACAATATTGGTTCATCAGTTACAAATAATGCATCACACTAATGAAAGATGTTAATAGGAGGAATTGTCTATAATGGTGAGAAATGCTCTCCTTTCCAAACAATTTTCTGTAAATCTGAAACTGCTCTTAAAAAAAAAGTCTATCAATTATTTAGAAGTCTTTTTTTAAAGAACATTTAAAACAATTTTTCTTTATAGTTTATTTATTTTTGAGACAGAGAGAGACAGAGTACTAGCAAGGGAGGGGCAGAAAGAGAGGGAGTCACAGAATCTGAAACAGGCTCCAGGCCCTGAGCTGCCAACACAGAACCCAATGCGGGGCTCAAACCCACAAACCGCAAGATCATGACCTGAGCCAAAGTCGGACGCTTAACCTACTGAGCCACCCAGGCTCCCCTAAAGAACATTTAAAAAATGTTTAATTCCAAAATAGCTAACATACAGTGTTATATTAATTTCAGGTGCACAATAGTGATTCAATAGACATGTTTTATTAGCAAAATAATACAATTGTTTTACATTCCTAAAAAAACTCAGGTTTTCTAAAATTGCATTTTGAAAGCAATTCTTCAAAGGGAGAATTGAGTTTCATTCATTTTTTCCTACCTGAATTTCAGTAATAAAGGTCATTTTTTAAAGTAAGCATAAATACACTTAAATACTCCCAACGTGGGGCTCAAACTCAACAATCCACACCTCAGCAAGCATTCTGGCCTTTGTGTCCGGTCTCTGCTCAAAACAGATAAGCTCTCCCCGCACTTCAGCAGCCTCAGGGTGGTGTGTGCAGCCTTCCACAGTGTGTGCAGGGCCTGAGGCATTGTTCTCGCCCTACTCCACCAGTACACCATGTGCTGGTCACCAAAGCCATGCCACTGATCTGCTCTTGCTCAGAGCCACAGACTTTTCCTCTCTCTGACATGCTCAATCTGAAGGATCCGTGTTTCCAATTCTGATTGCGTTAAAGTCACTAATAGCACTTTATAGCTCCTAAATCAATCGTCATTCTATGCAATTCATCTGAAAACCTGAGCAGGTGGCATGTAGCGATTGTTCCTAATCTGCTCCAGCCACTATGCGATGCCAGTGGATCCCATAGGCAGCCCAGTCCCAGGCTGAGGAATTTAGGAAAATCAGCCGGGAAAAGCCCACTAGGCATTTTGGTGAGAAAGTAGGCAAAGCTAAGAAAGCCTGGACAAATCTTCAGTTCTCTGTGGCCTCTCACCAGCTTCCCAAAGGGGTCCTCTTCTCACTTAGACCAGCATTCCCAAAGCATGGAACCCCTAATCTCTCCAGTGGGCCACAGGCATCTGGGGGGTTCAGAGGAAAAAGCAACAACACGATAGTAGTCAAACTTCTTGGAGATGTAAGATTGTAGTGACTTCACAGAAACCCTATTTTGTTCTCTACAACCATTCCATATTTAAATGTTGAGCATTTGGGGTACCTGGGTGGCTCAGTCAGTGGAGTGTCTGACTCTTGAGAGCTTGTTTGGAGGTTCTAGCAGGGGAGCGCAGCTACTCGTATACTCTTGACCGAGGAACGGTCCTCCTCTAGCGGGGAAGGTCGTCCTCTTCGACCGAGCGCGCAGCTTCGGGAGGGACGCACATGGAGCGGTGAGGGAGGAAGGGGACACCCGCCTAGCCAGCCAGATCAGCCGAATCAACCCTGGCGATCAATGGGGTGACAGATGTCGCAGCCAGATCGCCCTCACATCCTGGAGTGTCTGACTCTTGATTTCAGCTCAGGTCATGATCTGGCAGTTTGTGGATTCCATCCCGGCATCAGGCTTGGTGCAAAGTCTGTTTGGGATTTTCTCTCTCCCTCTATCTCTGCTCCTCCCCTGCTCTCTCTCTCTCAAAATAAATAAACTTAAAAAAAATATTGGGCATTTCTCATAAAGACAGCATCAGATTATCTTAAGTAACATTCAGTTGACAAAGTTCATTGTGGTTAATGTATTTTTCATACCACTGGCTGGTATCAAATTTGGAATCTTTATTATCGCTATTGGGTTATATTTGACTCAATTTCATTTTTCAAGAGGATTAGTGGCCCAAAAGTGTTCACTAAAGCACAAAATAGTGATGCAAGATATTGAAGTATTATATATCCTACAAATCAGAAAAATCTTATGAATACCCAAAGTAACTGTCACTCCAGAATAATACAGAATGTCAGGATTTATTGGTCAAGCAAATATCCAGGCGTGCTCTTTCACAAAGAAGTTGAAAATTGAAACAGTAGGAGATGAGACTCTGGGTCTCAGGGTCGTGAGTTTGAACCTCACATTGGATGTAGCGCTTACTTAAAAACTTAATAGGAGGGGCCACAATGAATATCTGAAAGCTGAATTTAACTAGATTGGAGCTTCTGAGTGCCCAGGCCTTCCTCAGCAAAGTTACAAAACCTGGTCAGAGGGTTCCACTGAAGCTTTTGAGTTACTCACCAATAAACAGTGGTACTTTTCCAGAAGTACAAAAAATTGCTTTCCAGGACAAAATGATGTATTGCTGAACACAGAGTAAAGACAAAAATGGCCAACCTGTTATTTAAAAATTTTACTTATTGAAGCAAAAATAGGTACATGTCATGTTGCTTTAAGAATCTCGTAAAGCTGTCTACAGAGTTAAATCACATATGTTACGTTCTACAAGAAACAAAATGAGCTAGTGGCCAAATAGTTTCATCAAAGATCTCTTTTTTCAGTTTTTTAAAAATGGTTTTTAATGTTTATTTATTTTTGAGAGAGAGAGAGAACATGAGCAGGGGAGGGGCAGAGAGAGAGGGAGACACAGGAATCCACAACAAGGCTACAGGCTCTGAGCTGTCAATACAGAGCCTGACATGGGGCCCAAACCCACGAACCACAAGAAGATCTTATTTTTTAAGAGAATTTTTATTTCATTTTTTAGAGTTAATTCATTAATTAATTAAAGTAATCTACACCCAACCTGGGGCTCGAACTCATGACCCTGAGAGCAAGAGTCGCACACTCTCCCAACTGAGCCAGCCGGTGCCCCATCAAAGGCCTTGTTGTACAACTATTAATAATATGCAATATGACACAAGCATTTCCAGTTACAGCTGTGAGCTGTTGATGTGTATGTTGT